TTGGTTCCAGCCTGCAGAATAATCATTATTCTGTCCGGCGTCAACAATTGACAATTTTTGGTTGGACAATGGCAAAAATAAAATAAAATAAAACAATAGATAGATTAAATAAATACTGCTGTGTTAATTCTGGTTGAACTGCTTCTATACTAATAATTATGCAAATAAGAAATCTTGCATCTTGATAGTTGGTCACTTCAAAATTTCATATACAATAAACTATATTATTAGTGTATATGATATTGAAATAAATAAAATAAAATTCAAGTTCAGACTAATATCGTCATTTATCAAACTTTTCGGTGTCATATTTTTAATGAAAAATAAATACGATTTCATGTGCATTAGATGATCTATTAACGAGTTCGGAGCTGTTATCCCGAATTACTTGTCTCAATAGATGTCCCCAAATTAAATATTGGCATCNATACGATTTCATGTGCATTAGATGATCTATTAACGAGTTCGGAGCTGTTATCCCGAATTACTTGTCTCATTAGCTGTCCCCATATTAAATATAGGCATCTAATTCAAAATAGAATTATATGTCAATATTTAATTGAACATCTATATAAACAAATAATTAGGGACAACATATGTGAACTCCAAGTCCATCACAACTTAGATTGAATCTTGAAAATTGCAAAATCATAGCAATCCAAGTTAATATCATTAGCTAAAATGCTTCGATTATCATACAAGCTTGCCCACTTCCAATATTCATGCACTCACACCTCATTAGGGCATGAAAAGACCGTTGATGATCTTTTAGAATATATTTTTCGTAGTCTTATGAATATAATAATTATCTTTATAATTCATAGACGAAAAAGTAAGATAAAGAGTTTTTTTAATTTCTTTTATTGTTTTTTCTCTTATTTATCTTTACTTATATGCATAAAAATTGGGGTAAGCAATCATTTTACCTTCATTTCTACTTAGCATTATTTATTTGTTTGTCTTTGGTTTTATTTCTCTTTTATCAAACTTCAAAAATTGATATGTCATGTTCTTAAAAATAATATTTTTATGTCACGAGCTTAAATTTTTGTTTTTAGGAAGTCGTTTTTAATAGAAATTTATTTAAGAAATATAGGATTTTATTTTATTTATTATTTGAGTTGGAATAAGTCAAGATAGTTATGGAGTCATTGTTATATTATTTGGCATAATATTTGTTTGTTTTTTAGTGACTCTATTAGTGTGTAATTTTCATGTATCTCAATTTAAAGAGACAAAAAGAAATGAAATAGGGGTGGAATGAGTTATTTGGTGAGCTTAGGCTACGTTTGATTACAAAGGTGGAAAATGGATTGAAAAAAAAATGAATTTCAGGGAATTGAATTGTCTAGAAATTGTTTTACTGAGAATTATAATTAATTGTATTTGATTGATATAATTTTTCATGAAAAATGTTGAAAGTTTGGTATGCGTTTGGCTTTTTTTTATTTATGAAAATTGTCCATTAAAGTGATAATATTTTCTACCATTGGGTCTAAAATTTGTTCCAATTGCCAAAAAAATGAAAAAAAATAATAATCATACCGAATATCATTCGTTTAACTTTGATTTGCATGTAAGTTGTCAATAAAAGTGAAAAAAAAATTTACCATTATGTCTAGAATTTTTTTCAATTTCAAAAAAAAAAAAATAAAAAAATAAAAAAACCTAGAAAATATGTACCCACCAAAACATCAAGAATTTGTTTTCCTAAAAAATGTGAAAATTTTGGAAAGTTGAAAAATATTTTATCGGGAAAATTTTCCATATCAAACACTATAAAAGTTGGAAAATTGAACATTTTCCATGGAAAATATGTGCTATCAAACGGGGCTCTAGTAGAAAACCAAGTTTCAACCCTGTTAACTTCTTCCAATTGGATTCCCACAACCAATAGTTCCTACTTTCAAAGACACCCCGCTTATGAGTTCTTGGAGAAAATTGCAGCACATTTCACCATTTCGAACAAGCTCTCTCTTACATCATTGTGTTTGAGTCTCCATCGGAACCCTTTCATCATGAGCCGTGTTATTTATTTGAGTTTGTTTGAATTGGAAGAAGATATTAAGAGAAAATCGGAGTTTGGAGTTCAGTCCACACAATGGTTCCTTTACTTTGTATCTATCCCACACAACCCGTCTTGAAATGTATGAGGAATTATGACATAGATATTTTGTAACATTGACATCACTCTCCTCCATCATTTATATTCTTTTTCTTCTATCATTCACTTT